TGTGCTCGGTATTTTCCTAACTTCTATCTTTAATGCCGTGTCATTTACCTGGCATAAGAAAGCTTGTTTCAGCAAGTGAGTATAGTTCATTTACGGCAAATCATGGGTTCACCATATCCTCCTCACGCCACCTCCCCAGGCCATAATATTTCCAGATGATTGACTAAAAAACAGTCCTACTCACATGAAACATGGTTTTCGTGTTTTAACTTTTCAAATTCAGCACATTCAAAATGGCTTTATGAAACACGTGTCCGATTCCAGAAAGTTGCTGAGGATAAAGACAGGTGTTTTTATCGGTATTCATAATATATCCTATATATCCTATCAAACTTCTCAAAAGCGTCAAAAGACCCGCTGTCTAAATATGGACTATTCAATACTTCGATCTTTTCTAAATTGATTCAAGTGGTTGGGGGGCAAATCTGATGACCAAAAGGTATATGGTTCGAATTTGATCTCTGCCTCTTGATTTTTCTATCTAGGCGTGGGCAACCCGGCAGTATCCTAGCCCTCGTGCTTCCTTGTGGTGGTATGGCACCGAAAGGGTTTTTTTTCAAAGTTGACACAGGCAGTTTTTCCAGCATAATGTGATCTAGTCAAATCAAACTATGATAGAGATTTGTCAAAAATTGCTAAGGTTAAAAACTAACGCAGCGCTACCAATCAACAAATTGGTCTAAGATCTTTTAAAAAATATCACTAGCGTCACTTCGAAGGACAATTATTCAACTTAGTTACACAAGACAAGCTCCTTTTGGTGTGTTTCCTATTGATAGAGTGGTAAATATAGGTCACCTCTACGCATCTACCAAAAAATTCTAGACATTCTCAAGTGCTCCTGTCAGGAAAGAGCACAGTGTTTCAATTTGATCTGTGTACACACTCCGCACATTCAAAATCAATATATATGAGAAAAAGAATAGACTGATGTCACGTCAGAATGATGAGAAACAACTGTCGGCAGATTTAATCATCCGAATCAGTATAAACGATTGATTCATGAATGTCGTGAGCAGAAGCGATTAGGAATCTTGACAAAAATAATATTTGAAAGGGAGGCATTGTCACAATAAAACATGAATTATTACTGAATATTCGGTAGAGGTTATGCTCACTTGCTTAGGTCCCTCTAATTTCATAAAGTTTTATTTTGCTTTGAAGTTAAGTACATTTTTTTGAAATGATCAATTGCTAGGATGTCTCTCAAATCAAAGTCATATAGAAATGGGGGTGAGATGTCTCAGTGGTTAGAGCGCGAATTTACTGACCGGAAGGTCCCTGATTCGAACCCGACCTTTGTCTCTCGGCTGCCCCTGTCTAGGCTCGGGCAACCTCAAGTATCCCAGCTCTCGTGCTTCCTTCGGTCAGCGTGGCAGCTAGACACCGAAAGCATGTTGCAGCCGAATGATTTTGTTCACGTGTAGAACTGAGTACTCGCGGTGATGCCAAGGCTATCCGCCGTCTTTGCTAAACAGCTAGTGGCTAAGCCGATACCAGCTATTGAAGACATTACAATTGTGAGAAACAATGGGAAGTATTAGACAGATATGTATGTAGTAAAAAATAATCTCATCTGTTCCGGGATTACATAATCGTTTGAACAGAAGTTATAGCTGGAGCATGTTTTAGTGAGAAAAGGGATCCTCCGATAAAAGAACTGAGACGCATTACGGGGTTCAGCAAGAGATCGGATCAGCTAAGATATCAAATATTAGCCTAAAGCTTGCTTACAGTAATCAGCAATGGGACTCTGCTCATTTGTTTTTTATTATATTTGGTAACAGTTATATTCGTTATTGTGATGCTTCATTTTTAAACACCAAATTTCTTCACCCCAGTGACATTTGATAAGCACTTTTGGGCCGTTTTTAATATCCTATTCTCTCTACAGCGTGGAACAGTCTTCATCAATATACTATAAAATATGCATGGAGCAATCTTAAATGGGAGCATACAATTTACGTTATTAAGCTAACCAAGTAATGCTGTGCAAATCCGTGTGGTATGTGAAGTCACGAGGACCCAGCCAGAACACCGATGTCTGAAAGACCTTATTAATAGACTACTGCTTTTAAATAAAAGTAGTTCGAAAATCACGCTTTTGAATTTGATATTTCTTTGGTTTCGATCCATTCTTCTGCCGCTAGGAGACGTTGTTGTGGGACAAACAAGCTGGTCTATTGATGAAGTGACATTTTTTGATGAATCAGAGACCAGTGGAGGAATGTATGGATCGAATTATTAACGGTACTTCTAAGAGGGCTGGGGTTTTGATAGTTTTTAGCCCAAACCAAAAGGGACTTGATAATCAGCAAGCCAAAGGAGGCTAGAATGAGAAATGCTTGTGATTCTTGGTCTATGGAACTCCATTTTGCCGTTGCATCCACACGTAACAATGAATTTTTCATGTCTTTTGTTACGATTAATTGATTTTATTCATGCTCCGCCTTCTTTACTCTGGTTGATCGCTTCAATCCTTACACGTGAAATGATCTTGTGTTACTCCACCGCTTTTAGGAATGCTTAGTTTACTAGCGCTGAAGTAACCACTGAGCTGTTATTGCTTTAATCTGCCTTTAGCCTATCCTTCTACTTTGATTTATCAGCCTAGCTGTTTCACCAGATTACCTCGGCTGCAGAGAAAACTCGTAGTGGGAAGTCTCCAAAATCACAAAAACGATTGAACAGGAGCAGTAGTAATGAGGTCACAGACGGTTCCCTTCTGAATGGTGATCTCTCCTTGTGACGGTTATATTCGGTGCCGTCAATTCACCAGGGAGGGCTCCTTCCCGGGTGAATACTGATTACTCATCGCTACGACCGGACGAGTCTTGATTTATCCGATCAAATGAGCACCTGAGCAACTGGGGAAAAAAAGCGGTGATCCAGGTTGAACTGCAGCCGATTCAGACTATCTACTAAGATAAGGCAAATTTACCAACATCCGGTTCATAGGTGGTCCGGATGGGGATAAACACCTTTGGCATATTGTAAAAGTTACCCACCTAAGAATGCTCGCAAATAAAGACTGCAATTCACTGCAGCGCAATAACCAATTCGCAATATTCCGGGTGCAGCATCATCATATTTTGCTCCACATGGAGCAAGCTGTTTTGAAGTCTATTTTGAAATTTCCCTTGACGGATCGCGGAGCGGGCCCTCCAAATCAATGCTGGCGTCGCTGTCGACCGTCACATGTAGACAAGTTGGCTAAATAGATTAATTCCTGCTCGATTAATTATGTCTCAAGACAACTAAACGGTTTGCAAATTTGGTTTGAGACGTACGAAATATCGTCCTCAGAATCACAAATGTTGATCGATTTGCATTCGGCTTACCAGTATCATATCATGCGAATATGGCAGTTTCTCTCTAAGAAGGGGAATGTTGGTCGATTTGCATTCGGTTTACTAGTATCATACCATGCGAATATGGCAGTTTCTCTCTAACAAGGGTCCTCATAGTATGAGCATACTCGTTTTCTTCAACGGAACTTTTGGGAGCCAAGTGAAACCAGTCTATGCTGAACAGCATCCTTATTGAGAATCACCAGCTACGTACATCTCAGGAATGTCAAAAGTGCTTCAAATCAGCGACCTCCCCGCTGAGCACTCAGTGATTTGGCCAAAAAGGCCGGATTTATCGAAGAACTATTGTGCTCACCCCAAAAATTCTTGTTGTAAAGTGGTTCCCGGTCTATAGGAACAAATATCTTAGTGCCTCCCACCAAGCCTCGTCTACCAATCTGAGGTCATTTTAGTTACATAAATATACCGGTTTAGCCGTTTTGATATACTCTGTATCAGGGAAGTCATAAAGCTAAGGGAAACGTTGAAGAACTGGGGAATTTCGCATTCATACTCATGAGTCAGGTCAACTCTCAGGAGGAAATCGGTCAAATGTTTGTGGCTGAGTGTTTTCCTCGGTTTTTCGATCATTATTGAAGGAAAACCTTCCATGAACACTCGTAATGCTGAGGGTTACGGAGCAAAACGCAAAACGCTAAATCATGACGGCTTGGGAAAAACACGGTAGACAGGTTCAAATGCAATTTGAGGATTCCTTTAGTAGTTAGAATCAAAGAGTTGTGGTCTGTATTAGCCAGAGTGCATTCATTCCATTGGGTTAAGTTTTTCAAAACCTTTCTGACAGATGAATTCACCTGATGTGCTGCCAAGCGCTGCTGAATAATGGTCCATTGTTATGGCTGTTGTTCGTGAGGTTTCGTCTTCCTCATAAGAATAGCTCGGACAATACCCCACTGATATACCCGTCTAATTTGTCATCTCTCTGGATTTATAGAACAAGTGCAAATACATTCGTAAATGTGAACAAATCAGAGTTACAACAATCAGGTGCGCACTCCACTGGTAAGACAAGAAGCAAAACATTTTCTAAGCGCGGAAACGCATCTATTTCAGTTTGGAGTTTGCAACATTAAAACAGGAATCAGCCGAAAAAAAACTAGCCAATTGAACTGCAGAAAGACGCCCTTCTGAGAAAACTTCAAATTATTTTCATTAGTCAAGATTCGCAGAAGAACCATCATTATTTCTCCATCATCTCTGACACACCATGGACGAGTTAACCAATTAGATTCTACTAGGTTCTACAAGATGTTCTGCACTTATGTGAGCGTGAATTCTCCATTTTTGTACTTGCCATGAGATGCTTCCTCAAGTGGAGGAATACTATATTCTCAAATCGGAGTTCAAGCTTTCAGTAATACAACCTGAAAGCAGAATGTGGGCGTGTGCACACCCAATGTCAGTTTATAAGGTAAACGCCCAGTCAGTTGAAGGATGCCACTTGCATTGTCAATGGCTAGAGAGATGAACGGCTCATGATTGGATTGTCGTTCCAATGTTATGTGAAAGCATTGATTTTTTAAGCATGGCCATTGATTGATAACAAAACACAGATGAATAAAAACAAAATCTAACAGAAAGGCGCAAGTCGCGTCCGGAATACTCTAACTAACTGAAACGCCGCGCGCAATGGGAAATACACCGTCTCAGACGGAAGACTCGGATTTAGTTTCGGGGGAGGAAGAAGACCAGGAAATGTCTGCCCGATGCGCAAGAATACCGTTGGAAGACAGCAACCAAACGCCAAAGATAAATGGAGCAAACCAAGGGATAGCGAGTCGAGTAGAAAATGCAGTGGGTCCACACAAACAGTTCGACGGCTCTGCGGCAACAATACACAAAAACAGACCAAGGGTCAGACAACATTCGGATGTCACCGATTTTATGCAAATTTATTATGGGGGTTTCGGTACCAGAGAGGAAGACATACCCAATCATAATCGTTACCGACCGTTTCAAAAAATTATGCAAATTCTAAGTAGTATGGAGAAAGAGCAGCGACTGAGTGACGAGGACGAAGGATTTGCAGAACCTATTCCTAGCCAGCCAATCGGAGACAACGCAGAGGAATCCGGTGAATGTTCCGTCAGGCAAGTGATTGAAGAAGTCATAAGGCCTACTAATTCAAGGATTTATCATGCCAGTAGGTTTCGGATAAAGAAAATAAAGTTGCGTGAAGGTAATGATATGAGAAAAATTCTAATCGCAAGCCGCAGAATGGAGATTCCGGAAAAACCTAACTTGCGGCTGGAAAAGAACTACCTAGTTCAATCTAGAACTGGCGAGATAAGAGGCTATTCCTTGAGCATACAACGCCCAGTAGAATCCAAGGTCATGATGCGGAGACCAGAAATGAAAGATGTGTGTGAGCAAACAAACTTCATTAGACCGCGTGGTGCACGGCGAAATCTGAGATCTTTTGAAGCATCTGATGAGTACACAAGCGAGGAAAGCGGATACTGATCGGTACCGATGTCCGTCCCATGACATTCAATGAAAACGCTACCACCTGCTCTAATGTTTGAAGTTAGTTTTCCCTTCCGTTGCCATGACTTTCTCACATTGTTTGCAAATAAATGATAAACAGTATAAGTGACTTCATCTCTCGTGGCTCAATTTTACGGGAAAAAAATCAGTGTTATCCTCCAAGGGTCGTCTTAACTGTTAATACTGACACCATGTGGTGAACATTCTCGAATTAGTCTAAGCCGAATTTCGGAATTTACACCTTGACAGATTCAGAATGGTGGACCAAAACGGCATGCTAGAAATACTGTCCTGCTCCTATTGATTCCTTGTGTTCAATACTGGTAAGTTTTAGACGTACTTGATTGGTTAGAAACTGATGCATTTCTTCTAGCTCGTCTCATCATCTTAAGTCTTAATACATCTTTGTGGAATATGGCAACATACATCTGTTGTACATACATCTGTACATACATCTGTTGTATATAATGCTCAAAACCATGCACTAGGCATGGTAGCATGGTAAAACTGTCCGAACAATGGGATCGCAAATGAAGGAGTCCTACTGCAAGAACAGTCAAATAGGAAAGTTCCTCAGTTTCTGTGGGTCTGCCTGCACTTCAACACTTTCAAGTAGATAAGCGTCCCATTCAAGGCATTTATAAACGAAAGCCGTTTGTCATGGGTAGTCTACACAAGACAAAACGAAGCTCAGCACGGAGTTCTCTACAATAAAACAAATTTTTCGACAAAATTTTAGATTATTCTCGTCGTTTCTGTAATGTACTGGAACAGTTTTGCTCCCATTACTTTCTGGTGTCATCGGTGGATTCTATGCAGGCACTGTATTAGCAAGAGTCCTACCAGTAAGATGTCCGAAACCTTACAGGAATTTTCGACAAGCCATCACTGAAAGTATCACTGGGCGAACTTTGTTTTTGATGCGAAAGCTTAACCAGGTTATCCAAGGTGAAAGACAGACACTTACGTGACGTAGATGTCGGGTTAAAGTTCTTACTGCCAAGTGTGCATTTCTATTACGAATGGCCGACCGGTCGGAGGGATTCAGTGGAAATTGGCACCAGGTGTGAACCCTTGTACAGCTGCTTATTTACAACTCAGCTATTGGTTTCCCTAGATTGTCGTTCACATTTTTCGGTTGTCTACAAGTGGTATGGCAGTGTTTGAGGTTAGAGTGTGCGTTCAGTTGGGTCGGCTTGAGCCATATGCTTCGCATCTGAAACAACTCTGCCTATCATTTCCCCCAGTGACATCCGTGTCAGCTGGGCTGATCTAAAACCCCTTCCACATGTTTTTCAGTCACAGACCCTGTCGAGGCAAGAATGCTCAGTAATCTCCATCGCTTCCTCAACCGATCACTTGATATTAATCTTGAATTCCTTTCATGTTCCGCATCAAATGTTTTTCTTTGACCAGAACTTGACCAGCGCATGCTGCAGTCGTTGAACTGAATGTCATTCGGGAGGTGAATTTTTTCCATATTGTCGATCTAACAAGAGGGCCCTAAATGACTGAATTCGCTCTTAACACTAGGGATATATACGTACGCAGTCTAGGTGAACTTGAACTAATTTCAGCAGCCTCGCACTTAGAACTGAAGTTTGGTAAGACAAGCAGTCGTTTGTGGAGAAAAGTGTTAGGATGCAAAGGAATGCAATCCTCACTCGTGTTGATTAGAATGACCAAGTGAAAAAAAGTAATTTCATCAGTTTTCACGAGAGACTCAACTGAATCTCTCGTTTATGATATTCTACAACTGAATGTGCTGCACACAGGCCGCCTCATGTTTCAGTTGGCACGATATTCGAGATATCGCAGTAAATTTTCATAAAGGAATAGCGTAGAAGAGAGATTCAGTTGAGTCTCTCGTGAAAACCATATTGATTTGCAAATGAGTGTATTTCTCGAAAACAGTCCAATTGGGGTTCAAGTAGAACATAAGGTTGATGGAAACTTGGGGACTGCGCCCTCCTGATGAGCCCCAAGAAGGGTGACACTGGTCGTGGGCTGTCGAAGCGTTTTCAGTAGCCTTGTGAGTAGTTTCCTTTATGGTAATTTCGACAATATTTGATTTCTGCCGAGACCTGTTTTTCGTAGAGAATTCTAAATTTTCGCTTTTGTGAATACTGAGTCTTTTTTTACCGACGTGTCTGTGTCTTTCTCGGCCACCTGATTGCAGATCACGACCTTTCGCGTGTAAAGAATCCATTTGTCAGATACTTTTATAATCTTTGACTAACTATGCTACCCCAGTACCCATAAACAAACAAGGAATGTGAGGATAGGGAACCATAGAAATCAGCACAATTTATGTGGTCATTTGGACGGGAAATACTTTGTTTTTTTCCAACCAGGAGTCATCTTCCAGAGATTCAGTGGAGGGTGTGATTCCGGCATAACCATGTATTTTCTTCTCATTACTGTGACCAATCCCTTGTTTTCTATTGGCCACATTAGGAATTTTACTTTTTTTCATTTTTGGGGTTATTGAGGAATGGTTAAACATTTTGACGTTTGAAAAGAGTTAAAGCGTTTTAATCTAACAGGTGACTGGTTCACGAAACTTGCCACATATGCTTCAGATGCGCTATACCGACGTAAGCTGCTTGAGAACGCTACGTGGTGAGTGGTGAAACGATCTGTGTGTTTAAAATATCCGAGATCCAGACATATTTTGCTAACTTTGTTGTTTCTTTTTTCCTTTCTACCTCCGTTCGAGATCCATTTGACAGCGATAATGTATATTGGGAGGGCATATTCACACAAAAAAGCTTTCTTATGGATCGGCATCACTTTTTCCAGGGGTCGCTCCTAAAAAATAAACAAAATGTTTCCTTAACAATGTATCTCCTCTTCAAAGTTCTTGAGTGGGGTTAGTACGGCGTTTGATCACAAAGTTTAACGTTTTCTTTCAATTTGGCCTCACTGTTCCAAAGGCAGCAAACTAAATAATTACAGTGGGGGGACTTGATCAGCTCCATTTATGATGAACTATATCATCTGGCACCACAAAAATCATCACATGACTGGAGACCTACATTGCTAAGTCGGACACGACGTAAAATAAACAGAAGTAAGACTTACTGAGGACAAGATCAATAGTGCTCATGATATCGATCGTTTGGTCAATGTCACTGCTTCACTGCTGCTTTACTGACCTATCATTTCCAATGACAGATAATATTAATTAAGGTTGATATTTCAGAGCCAAAGGGTCAAAAAAGGTCGTGATGCACCAATTCACTTGTTTTGCGCTATCTTGAATGGATGACTGTACCGTCATGAAATCAGAAACAGGATAAATCAATCAGTGAAGTCACCGTGAAGTCGTGTGTAACTATTCTTACATATATGACCAGACTAGTGTGCAAATGGGCGTATTCTGTGAATTTGGTTTGTGTAATTTGGTTTTCCAGCAGACCATATGGTTAACGGAGAATTGGGATTGTGCCAACCTGATGAGCTCCAAGCAGATCGGAACTGGTTGTTTAACCTCCAGTAACCTCTCCAGTAACCCTATGAGTAATTCATTTCAGGGAAACGGCTAGCCGCTGTATATGGCCCCTCGTACACATAATTGACTTGGTTTATTCAACTTGGCTAACTCGTTGAAGATTTCTGAGCCCAACCAAGGTATGGTAGTAAAACCATAAAGTAGTGATTTGGTTGGCGGCAAAACCATTGGTCCGGAAGTTTTTTGGGACGAGGTCATGAAACGCGGAAGAATGGAAGAGTCTGTTACATAGAGTTGCTAGAGTACTCGCCTACACATCACGGAATTTTCAAACACGGTGCACCACTTTGCCCTCATGCGCTGGTCATCTCCGATCAAAAGTTGGCGGACCGCCTGCAACAAGATTACCAAAAATAGTAACCGCTTCGATGGGTCAAACAATTTCATAAACTTCTGAAGGTCTCACGGTTCCTCTGTTTTTTATTCGTCCTTTTATGTTGGGGGTTCAGCATGCTGTGTGTTGGGCGTGAGTGTTCAAAGAGATGACTTTTATTAATACAAAAACAGTGATAGTGATTCGCCTGACCAGTTCAACCGCAGCTTCTACAGATTCACCATGTGGTTTATCATCTTTGGCGAGCACAATTCTTAGCTTGATAGCGAATTCCATGTTCGTTCGTATCCAAACTTATTCAAAATAGTAAATTGTGGTTTACAAGCTTGAGGTAGGAAGAAAATAGCGTAAGGACCTAAAATGACCAAGACATGAATTTTGGATTTTCCGTAATTCACTACTTAAGATGCAAAGGTTATTATCGGATTCACATTACAGCACTAATATGTAGATATTTGGGCGCTCCGGTATCAGCAAAGGCCTACGCAAGACTTATTTTTTCGTGCTTGATGGATATAACAAGATGAAGCGTTTTTTCATAAGTTGGCTATTTAGCTGTTCCTAGCTGCCTTGTTGCCCGAAAGGAAGCACGAGGGCTTGGATACTGCCAGGTTGCCCAAGCCTCCACAGGGGAAGTCAAGAGGCAGAGGTCGGGTTTGAAGCACGGACCTTCCAGTCAGTAAATTCGCGCTCTAACCACTGAGTCATCCCACAAGATTGCAGTTTGTTTCACCTCACTTCACCATGACAGATAACAGGGCTTGGTTTTCCGGAGTTCGCCTCACAACTCAACTGTAATTATGGTTTGCTATAGACCAGAGTTGTTCTGAGTTTCCAAAGTGACACCACTTGAATTCATAGACGAGTGCACAACAGTGTGTACGTGTGACCTGGTGTTCATCTACGAAGCAAGATTGATCAAAATTTGTGAATACACCCATTACAACGGAAAAAGTTTCCATTGCATCTACAGAAATTAAACATGGGGAAACTTTTAGGCAGCATATTCAGTGGAAAATATTATAAACCATAGATTCACGTTAGTCTCGCTATCACTGCGCTATTTTTAATTGAGCTTTCAAACACGTGAATGCTACACAGTGGTTCAATCGATGGTCCTCAAAGATCATCAGTGGGCTACTTTCCCTAACCTCATAAGTACCGCCATCAATAGAGGAAAAATTCAGCCCA